TACCACACTAAGTGATATATAAAAGGGAAATTGGTGATCATACATGAGGCCACCTGCTCTATTATTCTCCAAGCTTTCTGACATAATCAATGGATAGTTACAATGCCAAGCACATTCTAGGTACAACGAGGAAGTGAATAACTACAGAAGCTCTTTATCTTCCCATTGGGTTATGTCCTGATAAACTCATTATAAGTTGAAAACATTGTTCAGTTATAAATGAGTTTAATATGCCTGTGTTAGCTTTCAGTCATCATAATAAAATCCCTCAATTAATCAACTTATAAAGAGAAAAGAGTTAGTCTGAGTCTCAGTTTTGGTTGGTCTAATTGATTTGTGCCTATGGCAAGGCAGTACATCATGGTGGGAGCAGAGAGCGTGTCATAGCAAAACCACTCACCTCACCAGGAAGCAAAAGGCAATGAGGAAGATTTCAGAGTTGCACAGTCCTCTTAGGCACCATACCTGCCATGACCTAAAGACCACCCACAAGGCCCTACTTCTCAAAGGTTCCACCAACTCCTGATAGTACTGCCCTGGGGATCAATCCTTTAATGCATGAACATTTGGGGGAACATTTAAGATCCAAACTATAGTAATACCTAACCTACTCAATGTCAAAGTTCAGCAACAATGTGCCTTGTAGAACCTCAGTTGTTTGCTTTCGTGATCTCATGACTGTCTGGGAGCTGTGGCTCTGCATTATGAAAGAAAACTGGATTGCACATTATTTGCCCAAGAAAAGATCAAAATTCAAAATTCAAATGATGGTTGCCACTGATTGTGTATCACTTTCACAGAAATGTGATTTTGAAAAATCCTAAGTTGAACCATAGTTAAGTTGGGAAACATCTTTATATGAAACCTGCTTCCAAATTTTGAGGAGGTTGCAATTCACTATTTAATAACCTATGTGGTGATATGGTGTCATAGTAAATTTTAGTCTTATCTCTACCACTTATTAAATTTAAGAATTATGAGTAATAGTTTAACTTTTCTACCTTTTAAACTAACCTTTTAGGGTTTTTAGGAATGCAGATTTCACAGATTAAAAGCCTGGTACATACCAAATCCTTAACAAATAGGAGCTATTATTATGTGTTCATGCACATAAATTATTTTTTTACTTTCTTCAAGTAAAAGAATATAAGAATTAGAATGGATCCATTGGTTCCCCCATTAGAATTGTAATAATTATAATTTAGAATTTCAGAGAACTGCCATTCATTTATTCCAAATTGGCTTCTACATAAGTGCAGTTCCATAGATAAAGGATGGTGTACAAAAAGAAAGCTATTGTGGAGTCTCAGGTTAAGATAGAAAAAAAAAGCTTTTAAAAGATTAAATTAAATGTCACCTTTATGAAATCATCATCTAAAATATTTAATACCAGAAGAGAAATAAAATGGATTCAAAGAAATAGAAAATAATTGGAAATGGAAAATAAATTTCTCATGGGATATAGATAGTTCAGTTAACTTTCCCCAAAAGAGTGAATCTAAACAATGAAATAAATCTCTGGAAGGAAGAGCACATTGAAAGGAAACTAATGTTAATGCCAATGTCTCTTAACAAAACATTAGCAGTTTGACATGCAATAAAACTTACTAATTAGCAGCACAGATTCCGAAGTCTCAGTGCTAAGGTTCAAATCCCAACTCTGGCTCTGCAGCACTCTGACAAGTTTCTTAACTTCTTCATACATCAAAATGAGAATGGTACTAGTACCTATATCATCACATGTTTGTGTCAATTTTGTGAGTTATTATACACTAAATGTTTAGCATAGTGCCTGTCATACAGCGAGTCCTAAACAGATGTCTGCAGCAGCTGTATCGCTATATCATTATAGCTAATATCATACGTATTCATTAAATAGAGAATGTTTCATCATATCTGAGATCTTCCTTTGTTAAAATTCTGTCTTTCTACCATTGTTATTTACTAGTCTACTAGGAATAGTCCCCAATTTACAATGGCTCAACCAACTTTTGATTTTATGATGGTTAAAAAAGCAACACATTCAGTAGTATTTTTATCTCTTCTCAGGCTGGCTTTGTGTGGGACAATAACTCTCTTGTAATGCTGGGCGTTGGCATGAGCCCAGTTCCCATTCAGCAGCAGGGTACCAAAGGTAAACAACCAACCCTAATCTATAGCACTCTGTCCTGCTATAGTGTTTGGCAGATTAGATACATTCAATGCATTTTCAACTTGTGTGGTTTTTATTAACCTAATTTTGGATTTATTGAGAATTTGGGAGTCTGAGGCAGGAGGATTACAAGTTCAAGGCCAGCTTCAGAAACTTAGTGAGGCCCTAAGCAGCTTAATCAGACCATGTCTCAAAAAATAGGAAAGTATTAGGGATGTGACTTAATTTTAAAGCATTCCTAGGATAAATTTCATATAGATAAATAGATAGATGATAGAGATAGATAGATAGATAGATAGAGATAGAGATACACATATATATTACAATCTACACCAGAACTTACTGCTAATCTTCACCTGTATGAACAGAGTTCCATCACCACCTACACATTACCCTCTGTGAATCTGGCAGCAACCAGAACCATATTATGCACTACAAAGGAAAACAAAGGGCTCCTAACCTTAAGGGGGCTCATCTCTTGGTAGGAGAATCCCTTTTAAATGTGAGAGGGATATTTGACAATATTACTCAAGTAGCTGGAGGTTGCAGCTTGCAGTTAAAATGGAATAATGCAGGACATATCTACTGAAACAAGGGAACCAAGTCCACTGGCATGAGTGACAGAGCAGCATTTAGGATAATCTCCCCCACAAAAAGAGCTAATCAATCACCTGAAAGGAAGGTTAATTCTAAACGCCCTGTCAACTCATGTCTGGATCTTAGAGAAGGGAGAGAGAACTGATAAAAAAAAATGTAAAAAGATGTTCTCTTCAAAGTCCTCTAAGATATGGGGGGAGGGGGAGATCCAGCACACTTTGATAGATTCTCATGGAAAATGGCCTAGAAAGATAGACACTTGCGCTCACTGTGGTAGAGTGTGGTATGGCTTTGACGCATCAAGGAATCTAGACATCGATGGCAATAACCATGGGTACAGGGAACAGTGTTCTCGAAAGCTCACATGTTCACTATGACAATAGTTCCTTGGGACTTGTTGGTAGATTCTAGCAGAGGTGAGACAGGCAAGAAGAGGAGCAGAAGTAGGCACTTCTTGTGACTTACCTCTTCAATGAGCAAGCGCATGTGAGAATCTCAAAAGTACTAGCATAAACCCAACAGCCTTATAATGCCAGGTAAACAGGAGTCAGAGGGGCTTAAGGGTACATTATTATCCTTGCCAAGTTTTAAAACAATAATGATGACTTCTTCATACTCCAGTTACTCACTGCAGAATTTTGTATAATTATCTTTCACAATTAAGCATTATTTATAACCCTAAGTTTATATATTTGCCACATCTCTTTATGACCTTTACAATTAAGGTAGATAGCCTCTGAGGGTATAAAAGAGAATAAATTCAACAAAAGAGGCTATTGTTTTAAAAATTATAAACAGAAAAATTTTAAAAAAATAAGCACATTTCATAAAAGCAGTCATTTTACAAAAGCAATGGAAAGGACTGAATATCTGTGCACCATCTGTCCTAGCGCATATATTAAGAACACTATTCCGAGTAACACTTCAACAATGCTGCTTACATTCTTTTCACTCCTAAAAGAAGTATTACTCCTTCTTTATGTACTTCTTCTTAAAGAACCTGTTTTCTTATTACCATTTGCAGGGGCTTCACACAATTGCTTCATGTAGAAGAAGCCAAATTGAATCTTAGTGCTAGTGTGCCAATCTTATTCAAATTCAACATTTTCTTAACCTTGAATTCTAGTTTGACCTTACCTCAACACCTCTTCATTCTTGGAGAGCATCTCCTTGATTCTTTGTTCCTGTGTTTGTATTTGTACCCTACCTTCTTCTCAAAAGCCTCTGAAATGTCACATGCCTCTAATCCCAGATGGTGGTACGTTTGGTCTTACTACCATCATAGTCATTACCACAAGCTCAGGACAGAATAGGAAACTCCATTGAGAACGTGCTCACAACTCCTACCCAGCTTCCAAGAGAAGTTGGTGGTAGCTGAGGTTCTTCAGGAGGTGCAACATATTGTATTCTAGCCAGTAGAGGAGATAAGAGGGGGCACTGAGATCAGGCAGATGACTGTGGAAGTGTTGAGGATCAGTGGAGCCTTTCATTCAGGTGGAGTCAGTGGGTTCCTTGAAAAACCTGAGTATTCTTTTATGTAATATTAGAAGATGGCAAAATAAACAAGATACCTGATAGGTCAAAAACACTGTGGAAAATATAATGATACTGAAAACCTATCTCTACATAAGACATATAATCTAGCAAGAGAACAGAGACTTAGTAACCTACCATGCAATTCCAGACATCACATGCCAAAAACGTCACAATTTGCTACTCCATAAGTGTGACGGATATTATATTATCAAGTTCCAAAGTTCAGCTTCATGTCTTTACTTAGTTAAATTTCAAATCTTAATATGCGTTTTATATGTTCACTGCTGCTCTCCTCCCACCAGTATCCCAGTAAGATGCCTATGCTTAGAAAGAATGAAGACATAAGCCATTGGTTGGGAGGTAGAGAAAGTAAATGAAAAAGAAGGATTCCACAGGACGAGATAATCCCAGCAAACAACTTCCCATCTTTTTTCTTAAAGAATCTCATCAGCTTGTTATTGATATGCTGCTCTTGTCTCTCAGGAAGACAGATGCCAGTAGTCCTACTCTCAATGAGACCCCCAAACAGATGTTCAGGTTAGCCCTGCACACCTTACCTGTTTTGGAGTCAGAAATTGGAATAGAAAGCAATCATACGTGTGCCAAAGTGTATGTGTGTGTGTGTGTGTGTGTGTATTGTGTGTGTGTGTGTGTGTGTGTGTGTGTGTGGAAGAGAGAGAGTAAGAGAGAGAGAGATAGAGAGAGAGAGACTTACCTCCCAATAAGTGAGAACTCGCCCACAACACCGAGGCGCCGCATGGCGCTTAGGAGTCCTCGCACAGTCATGCCCTCGCAGAAGCACACCACCACTCTGGCCTTGGGAAGCCGCTCTCGGAGCTTACGCAAGAGTCGGTCAAAGCTCTTCTCGCCAGCATTGCTGTAGATTTTGTCTGAATGGGCGATGCAGAGGCCTTCCTGGGCAGCCAACTCTTTGAAAGCATCCATTCCACTCTCCCCGTAATTTCCTGTCCAAAAACAATCAGCAGATAGATGTTCAAGACTACCGTGGCAGAAAGAGCACTTGTAAATTGCAACAAGGACTCCTTAGTTGCTGGGAATGGAGAGGGTAGACTTGCTAAATGAATTCAAATATGACTGCAACTGAAGGAAGATCTGGGCCGATCAAAAGGAGTAATCAACTGTGGCCAATCAACTCTATGAATGTGATGAGAAATTACCTGAGCTAGGCATCCACGAGGAAACAAGTTTTGTAAAATAAAGGACTGCTGCTCTATTTTACAGTCATGATGAATTGTGTTTGTCCCAGACTTAACTGTGTGGGAGACAGCAGCACAGTGGGGTAGGGAGGTCAACTGGCTTCAGCTGGCCGCCAGGTTAAGCGGTAGACACTCAGCCTTTCCATGAAGAGTGAGCTCTCAAAGCAAATGGAACACCTGGCCTAGCCAGAGGTAAGCAGACAAAAAAACCAGTTGCTAGGTGTAGTCAACATCCACCACCCTCTGCTGAAATGATGGAAGGGTGGGAGATTTTTATGTTATATCATTCTCATAATAAAATGTACTTTAATCAGTGAAGTAAGATAAATATCACACTTCACCATTTCTCCCTTCCTCTATGTCACTGATGATATAACCTTCATTCACCTTAGGGGCTTCTATAGCCCTTCCACTCTTCTAGGTTTGGGGACACCGATACCGGTGTGGATGATGTACTTAATAACATATCTTCACAGTCCCTCATTGATATTTTCTGTAACTCGCCTACTTCCATGGCCACACTTCTGACCTTGTTAGGACGGATGTCTATAATATCTCTAAATGTGGATATCAAACATCCCAGTCTCTGTTTATGTCCTCTTATCATTCAAGCTCATATATTCCACTACACCTACCACAGCAATTTTTTCGACCTCAAAAAAACTTGAAATCCATGAGCCTATTTTTTTTCCTTCCATGCCCTCTCTTAGGCTGGCTTCAACCTTGTAGGCTTTCTTCATCATCACTTCCTTTCAAATTCTTAGCTCTGTTGATTTTCCTGATGAAACCTAAGGCTAATGGACCCCAGCCAGCCGCCTGTCTACAGCTGTACCTGATCACTTAAACACAGGTGGAATAAGCTCACAACCTATCAATTGGTTTTATTTAAAATTACTGAGCACACATTCAAAAGAGGTTCTCCGTAGCACAGGAAAATTATACAACACCACCCCTAATAAATTTTCTTAGTTTCTAATATGACAATTTTGTCCTTACTTTCCTCTATTTAAATCTTTGCACTAGGGCTGGGAATGTGGCTCAGTGGTAGAGTGCTCGCCTGGCACGTGCAAGGCCTTGGGTTTGATCCTCAGCACCACATACAATAGATAAAATAAAAGTATTGTGTCCAACTACAACTAAAAAATAAATGTTTTTAAAAAATCTTTAAACTATAGTAGAGTCCACTGCCATCCCACCTCAGCTGCGATCCTCGTTTCATATTCCAATAAGAACACAGAAACAGTGAGACAAAAATTAATCCAGCCATCTCCTGCAACATCTATGCACTTTTCTTCTTACATTCTCCGGCATTCATCAATTGGTATACATTTGAAGTGCTTGAGAATAAGAGTTAACCCATACTCAAAGACACTCACTCCCATCACTTTTCATCTATTCAAGGGTTTTCTCATGCAATTGTTCCCTCTCTCTTGGATAATCACTTTCTTCCACCTACTAGTGTCAATTTAAAAAAAAAAAAAATCCCTGGAGTCGATGTTCCACTTGCATTAGTACTTACTCTGCTGCCATATCTGCCTAGGCCAGTGTATTTACTTCTGTATCTCCCATTCTCTCATTTTCTGTATTTTCTTAACTGTGGTATAATTGACATACAAAATTTTACATGCTTTTGATGTATAATCTTAAGAGTTTAGACATAGGTATAACAATCATCCCAGAATCTTCTCTTGTCAAAATCTGTTGCCAGGGCCACTGAAAAGCTTCCTGTTGTCATCTCTCCTGATTTGTTCTGTCTACACTATCCTCAACCACTCAGGTGCATTCAGGATCACCCCCTCTTGAAACAGTTTATTCTCTTGGTTAAAGAGACCAGTGTTCGCCTGGTTTCCTCACCACTCACTGACCACTTTTGAGTGTATTTGCTTGATTTTCCTCGTCTACTCAACCTTGTCATGCAAGGATCCATCCTGGGAAAACTTCTCTCTTCTGTACTCTCATCCCAGGTACTCCCACTCAGTCAAGTCCACTGTTGAGTCCCGTGTATATAGAACTTCAGACTAAATTGTCCTCCAGAGCAAAACTAGACTGTTCATTTGCCAGACTCTTGTAGCCATTCATGGACATTTCAAACAACATATCTGAATAAATTCTTCATTCTCCACCTTGCAAATATGCTCCTTTGAGACAGCTCCTATTAGTAAGAGTGTCTTTGCCCACAAAATTACTAGATAATCAAATGTAGAGCTGTTTTAATTTCTGTGTTTTTCTCGTATCCAAGATCCTATCTCTGAAACACTCCTAATTCATTCTCTTTTATCTGCTTTCAACCTCTGCCTCTTTAAACCATGTATTAGTATGTTCTCTAAAAACAGAACCTGAGATGAAGATTGTTATTCAAGTAATTTATTGGGAGAAGAGCATCAAGAGAAGCAGGGAAGCACACGAGGGAAGAGCTAAGTAGGAAGATTTTCTCAGATGAACATTAGCTTCTAACTGGTCCCAGAAGGAAGTGCAAGAGCACATTAAACCATAGAGTTACTCCCACTTTGAGCAAGGGAGCTATGTTGGGTGATGGTCCCTGACTAAACTTCACCCAGGAGGAGGAGAAATACAGCTCCCAGGAAGCAAGTAGCTAGTACTGACAGAAGCATACTCAAATAGTAGTTGAGAGGTTAGTGCACGAGGCAGACAAAGGCAATCTGAGCAGGCCATTCTTACCTAGGCAATGGCCTCAGCCTCCCCAATTAGACTCTTTGCTTACATTCTTGTCCCCAATGATTCATTTCATGCCTAGCAACCTGAGTGTTCTGTTAAGGTGTGAACCAGATTATGTTGTTCCATTACAGAGAGCTTCAATTGCTTTCCAAAGTGCTTGGAATGAAAATTAAAATTCCTTCCCTGGGACTACCAGGCTAAACATGGGCTGAGGCTTCTGACCTCTCCAACTTCATCTTTTTCTCATTGTAGAAATCACTTATTAGACATATTTCAACATCCCCTCCTTCACCTTCTTTAGTTTCATGGATATCGATCTCTTCATAGAATACCCCAACCTCATTCATGTTTTTGCTTATTTTTTATTCCTCTGAGAGGTTAAACTCCATGATAACACCTCTTTATAAGTTGCTGTTCAATGATATATCTTTAGTAGTTAGGATAGTTCTAGATATTTAAATTTACAATAAGAGTGTTAATTATAACTGACCAGTAGAGAAATAGACAAAGGTATAGATGAGCAATTTAAACTCAACAATAAGTGAATAACAAGCACATGAAAAAAATCTTCAAATCTCATTAATTAACAAGAAAGTGAAATTAAAATAAAACATTGGTTTTTTTGTCACTTCTCAAAATACTAGAATTTCAAAGAAGTTACATCCAGTGTTGTCAAGACAAAAACATTCACTATTGGTTTATGTGGTTCAAACATTTGTTGGAAAACTTGATAGGAGTTTTCAAAAATTTTAAGGTAAATATCAGGCAAATACAGAAATTATCTAGAATATATTTTATATTTTCTAAAAAGGACCTGGGACTTAAATTTAACATCTATAAAATTTTCATGAGCATTGTAATGAAACCCGATAAGATTTTCTTGTATCTTTGAAAATAAACCCTTCTTGTTTCCTTGCTAATAAGATTGAATGATCAAACTGGGATATTTCTCTCTTCACCTAGCTACCTTCAATGGCCTAATATCTTCCATTGGAATCCAAGGAGAAGCTTCAACATATCACAAAACCCTCAGCTCTCCGGTCTGTGGAAACATGCCACAGCTCAGAGAAGAGCAGTGACTGATTATAAGGGAGAGAATTGCAGCTGGCTCATTCATCTGCAAAAGAGGGCATAAGGAAGGAAGTCAGATGCCACTTCTCACAATAAATGCTGGTTCAGTAATCCAGAGGTAAATAGACTTTACCAGCAGACTCTCTTAACAAAGCTCACTGTCAGAAAAGGAGAATAATTTTATAACTATGGTGCCAATCCTTGTGCTTCAATCATACACATAAAAAATTATTTTACTTCTTTATCAAAACACATGCAGACTAAATGAGCAAGAGTGCTCTTTGCATGAAAATAAGCAAATTCTCATGTTTTAAATCTAGTAAAGTTTAGAGAAATACTCAGTCCAACACCTCAGCTTACAGACAAGGAAGTCCACCACAAAGAAGTGAAATGGCTCACCAAAGAGGACATGGAAATAGATGATGCTAGAAGTGGAAGAGTTTCTCTTTGCCCTAACTCCTAGGTTCCTGAATATTTCTCTTAATAGCAAAAAAATCAATTAATATATGTGTTCTTAAAATAATGTCTGGGTACGTGAATTTATTCCATGAAATTCTTCTTCCAATTTCTGTATTCATATGTATTTGTTTAGACAGTAATTCTTAATTATACAAATTGATAGCTGAGAATTTTGCATTGAACCACATTTAAACTGCCCATTCCTCTCATGATACTTAAAAATCCCCAAACATGCATATAAACTTCCATGAGAAGAACCCTAACGTATGTAAAACAGCAATAACTTGTTCTTTTACTTTATACTTTAAAAATTGCATAAAGAACTAAAAAAAACTTAACACCAAAAAAAAAAAACCCAAAAAATCCAATCAATAAATGGGCTAAGGAACTGAGGAGACATTTCATGGAAGAAGAAATATATGAAATTCATATTTAAAAAGTTCAACATCTCTAGCAATTGGAGAAACAAAAATCAAAACTGCAATAAGATTTCATCTTACTGTAGTCATAAAGGCAATTATCAAGAATACAAGCAACAATAA